ATCTGAGTCTAGAGAAATTTACAAGTTTTAGCCAAGGAAGATTAACAGTCAAGTGAGGGTAAACATCTTTAAATATCAGGTTGTGGTTATTGTTGTTTATCCTTTATCTTATAGACATTGTTTTTATGGAGAATGAGTGAGTAAAGCTTTGTTTAGAGTTGCTAATCTTCTAGTCACAGAGTACTAAAAAGAAGGCTTGTAGATGCCAGACTCTACTGATTTAAGAAGCAAGAAAGAGATACAGACCTTGCTGGGAAGCAGTCCCCAGCAGGGAATTGTTGGAGGCTTCTAATCAGCTGCAGCTGCCAGGAGCCAAGCCTGCCAGCATCTTTCTTATAACTTGCTACAGCTTGCCTTCAGTTCTGATAGGTAGCATTGGTGTTTCATCACATCAGTGGAAACTGAGATTTAAAACAGAGGAACGGTAACTGTACACTTTGGTTTTGTTCTTGCTTCAGTGATACAGATAACATGGAAACATGGAAAATTCCTTTGTTAGCCATAGGGGCAAAAGCAGAATTATGTAGAATTGTTCTTCCAAGAATCTAATTTCAGTAGAGACTGTTCTCCTGGCTAATAGGATTAAGGCCAAAACATTAATTACTCTGCCTCTACTGTAGCAACAAAAATTATTTTCATAGGTGATCTCTTCATTGAAAAATCCCTGTCTTAAATAAAAAAAAAGTGTCGTTTCTTCAGAAAGTTTCTGTATTTTGATTTTTCTCAATTATATTTTTAAGAGTTATTTAGTTTTGAAAAAGTGTTGTGCTTTATATTTGCATTCATTTCAAAAGAGTGTAAGAATGGAAGCAATATCATTGTTTTGGTTTTACACTTAGCATTTATGTTGTTTCCACGTCTCACATATTCTATTTCTGTGCAGAGGGGGTATAAGCTAATGAAAATAGATAAATGATACAGAGCTGCCTTTAAATCCATTGATTTAAAAACGCTGTGTAGCTGTTTGCAGGAACAAAATTCCAAGTTGTTTCTGCTTAAAGCAGAAATTTCCCTTCCTCAGATTTATGTGGTTTTTGTTTGTTTGTTTGTTTTCCCCAGTGTTTTCAACTAAAATAGTCCAATTGAATCATCAGCATAAAGCTGGTAAATTAACTGGTAAATATTTATAGCAACTCTGCAAATAGATAAGCTTAAGCAAGCACAGGGTCTTTATTTGTATGGAACAGAAAGGAGCAAAAATGAGTTACTGTCTGTGGTTTTCTCAGTAATAAGTAACAATTGTTCCTATATCTCAGTCATCACTAGATGAGTTTTGTCTAGAGAATTATAGAGTCTTAGGGACCTTAAAGATGACCCAGTTCCAATCCCCTGCCATAGGTAGGGCTGTTACTCAGCAGATAGGCTGCCCATGGCCCCATCCAATCTGGCCTTGAGCATCTCCAGGGATTGTGCATCCACAGCTTCTCTGAGAAGCCTGTGCCTCACCACTCTCCAAGTAAAAACATTCTTCTTAATAACTAATCTAAATCTCCTCTGTTTTGGTTTAAAGCCATTCTTCCTCGTCCTAGTAGTCCTATCGACCTGTGTGAAATATTGAACTCCCTCCTGTTTATAAGCTCCTCTCAAGTATTGGAAGGCCACAGTGAGATCTCAGACCCTTCTCCAAGCTGGACAAGACCAGCTCCTTTAGCCTTTCTTCATTGAAGAGGTGCTCCAGCCTTCTGATAATCTCTGTGGCCTTCTTCTGGACCTGCTTCGACTGGTCTGCATATTTCTTGTGCTGGGGGCACCAGGCCTGGATGCAGTTCTCCAGCTGGGGCCTCACAAGGGCAGAGCAGAAGGATACAATCACCTCCCTCTCTCTGCTGGCCAACCCTCTTTTGATGCAGCCCAGGATACTATTGGCCTTCAGGACTACAAGTGTGCACTCCTGGCTTGCGTCCAGCTTCTCATCTGTCAAGACTCCCAAGATAGGGCTGCTCTCAATGAATTTTTCTCCCAGTCTGTACGCTTATACTCCAACCCAAGTGCAACACTTTGCATGAGGCCTTTTTGAATCTCATTAGATTCATGAGTGAATTGGATTTAATCATGTTCTTTTATCTGGGGATGTGAAGGATTCTGGCAAACAGAAAAGTTTGCCAGGTGCAAAGAGGTGAGTTAACACATCTGCAGAAGTTCAGAAGCCTCAGGGTGATTCACTTGGTTGACAGTTTTTGTACTTGTGTGGTTTGATGGTAACTGGGGACAGAATTATGCTGAAGGATATCTTTATTTTCTGTGCAAGAATAATTTTAGATAGATTACCTTCATTTTATTTTCTGACAGTGCCTTCCTGTGTATCAATAGAGTTTTTTTCATATCAAGTTTTTTTTCCTTTCTCTTTTCAACTGTTATTTTATGCAGAAGTTTTTTTTTTTTTTTTTTTTTTTTTCCTGGAGATACAGCTCAGTCATGCTTTTGTTCGACAACTATTTTCTCTTATTTTTATACAAGTTTATTTTAAAAACTCAGTTTTCTTAGAAAAATATCTAAGGTACATTCTCGATTGTGAAATCTCTAAATGCAGCCTGCCATCTTCAGCATTGAAAACATACATTTGTTTCCCTTTGAATAGGCTGCTCATTTTCAGAGCATACTAAGAAGTGGGTACCTTTTTGATACTAATTTAAAACAGTCGTAATGCTGAAATCTGCCATATTTCTTGAAAATTGATACTCAACTTCAAAGTAAAATGCATCACTACAGCAGAAGCTCATTTAACACTAGATGTGTTTCTTTTATTATTGAATGAGATAAGCAGCATTTGTTGTGCAAAGGTCTTGTAAATGGCAGAACAGTATCAGACTTTCAACCATTTACACAATGTTATAAACCAGAAGGCCTTAAAATATAGTACATTCCACAGATTTGATTGTGAAGTTTAGAGCTACTCTAGAAGATCTTTCCTATTAATAATTCTGCAAGAGTAGACTTTCTGGAATAGAAGTGGCTTTTAAACATGGTAGGATAATAAAGTGCAGTCAATGACCTAAGATTTGGTAATCTGGTCTATAGAAGAAGTTTTATGATGTATGCAGTTATCCACCATCTATTAAATGATAGTTTTATATTTGGAATAAGTATATTGTTCAGAATCCAAGGAAGCAAGTAGTAAAATGGTACCTGATAGCTTCATATTCCTGAAGTACTAGCTTGGCTGCCTAGTGTGGTAAATTTACTAGGTTTGTTTGGTAGTTTTTTTTTTTATCTGGTGCATTGAGAAAAAGCCTGTTTCCTGTTGGGTTTGTTTGTTTTGATTTCTTTTCAAAATACGTCCCATAATAACTTTTTGAAGTTAAACTACCAAAAAACTAGTAATTCTTTTAGCAGAAGAAAAGTTCTAGAATTAATTCTTTCATTGGTATTCTCCTGATACACAGTTGTAATCTCCCATTCAGATTGATAGTTATAGAATCAACCAAAGTAAGTGAATGTCAATGAAATTTCAAAGGATTATTTTTAGGCTTAGTAGGGACAAAAACTGTTTCAAAACTATTTATGACTTATGCTGATCAGATCTTTTAAACTTGAAACTTCTGATTACTGTTTGTGTCTTATAAAGAGCTGTGCAAGAGCCATCTTTTCTAATGCTTAGGATAAGTATTAGATAGTAAGATAATAAGAAGGATGGTGTAATTTTCTGGTAACCCTAGTACTTCAATCTTTCACTCATATACATAGGTCATTCTGGAAGTAATGCCACCTTTTTATTTCCAAAGAAACAGACAACAGACAAAGAGCACAATATCAGTGTTTGATAGAGCAAATTTTCAGCTACAGAACATTATTTTTCAGCTTAGTTACCACCATTAACTATGAGTTTTCACAAATGATAAACGAGAGCCTTCATGCAGAGCTTGTAAAAATCTGCATGGCCATCTGGAATTTTACTTGTCTTTCATGTCATTGTTACCACTGCTGAAACATCTCACTGTGCTCATATCCGCTGTTTGGTCTCCATACACATTCATCAAGCATTGATAAATGTTAATTGGAGTTTTTTTGTTTTGTTTTGTTTTTTGCATGGAGGAATTCAGCAGCATACCTTTATTTCATATGCACTTCCATGTCAGATGCCGTTTTGTCAAACTGCTTCTCTGTTGCCATCAATTGCATGGCAACAAAATGTAATAGAATATTGATTATAATGTTCAACCTCTTATGCTATACCACTAACGTCTGCCTCTGACATCATGGGCCAACATAATAGGATTTGTTAATTTTGGAGCAGCCCTTGTATGTATATTGGTGATCAAAATAGCCTTACTGATTTTTATACTGATTTTACCATTTATTTATTTAACAACCTATTTATTAACCTCATCACCTTGGACAGTTCTTGCGCAGTATTTGCGTTCATCTTTGTCATACCTGTCATCACATTCTCTTTTTTCCAGCTCCTCATTAGTTTGTCTTCCTTCTGCCAACTCATGCTTGCTTTGTCATAGGTCTCTCATTTTCCAATTTTCTGACCTCAGTTTCTCTCTTGCTTGCTGCCCCTTCACCTTGTTTCCATTTCTGTTTATCTTTCTGTCCTTCCAACCCTCCTGCAGCACTCAGCTTCTCTGTAAGTCATATTATCCAGTTTTCTCATCTATTTTTTCTTTCCATAGCAGATTTATCTTTCATTATATTATCTTCCTCTAAGTTGATTTTTACTGAATAGAGTACATGCTATAATGTTTCATTTTCTAAAGCTACATGGAATTTAACTGCCATACTGGTGTCCTACATTTAGTCATACTTGCTTTACTCTTTTGTCTAAATAACAAGCTGTATGTCTGATTTCATTTTATGTATCATTTCTCTTAAAAGAACAAACAGTTGTTTTAAGAGGCTTGTGATCTACTGGTCTACATGCAAGGATAAACTATGCTATAGAGTTGCCTCCTAACTTCCAGCTTCAGTGGATGCTCAGGGAATGCAAAACTAGAATGTAGTCACAGAGTGCTTCAAGTTTAAACTTAAACATTCCTCTTCTCTGTCCTCAATTACAGAATCTTCTGGCTGAGAAGGTGGAACAGCTAATGGAGTGGAGCTCAAGGCGCTCAGTCATCCGCATGAATGGAGACAAATTTCGAAGATTTGTGAAGGCTCCACCTCGTAACTACTCCGTGATAGTGATGTTCACTGCTCTCCAGCCACAGCGGCAGTGCTCTGTTTGCAGGTAATTTATACCTTACTGATTTTTTTCCATCTTTCTCACCTCAGTTTTCAAGTGAATGTTTTAATCATTGCTCAGTATGTGTAGGGTTGTTCTTTGCTTGGGGTGGATATTTACTGTTTAACAGCCTCATGTGTTTTTTGCAGCATCTTTTTCAACTTTTTTTTAATCTATATGACAATTTTCAGAAGTTTACTCAGTGTTTTTTTTATTACAGTTGAATAAAATGTATACTGCAGAAAAAAATAACAACACACATTTAAGAAATTGCTTCATGCTTTGGTCTCTTGAAAGATGTTTTGTGATAAAGTGAATAATCATTAATATTTAATAACATGACATACCACTAATTCCTTCTGTTAAATGATATTCAGGGCTCTGGTACAGATGTGAGTCTGTGATTTCACAGATTTGAACAGTTCTTAAAATGTAAACATATTTTTCCCATGAGGACATACATTCTGAGGAATATTGTCTGATACTGCACTTTTGATATGTGCTGGTACTTCCTTTCAGAATATATATTGAAGTACTACTAGTATTCTTCTAATACAAGATCTTTTTCTGCAAATTTCTAGTTCAACAGAGGTAATCCAAAAATAATTAATGATAGATGTGGGACTGGGGCCAAGGAACTGAAAGGTAGTCATGTATTTAATTACCTTACTAAATCAGAAACTGAGCTAATAAAACCTTCTTCAGCCAAAACACGCATTGGAAATTACTGAGTGTAATAATAGGTGGGTTTATTTTGCTGGGTGTTCTGGACAATATCTAAATATTCAGCAAAATGCTGCATAGAACTGTGAAATAGATGAGCTTTATAGGAAAGAAGCATTTCTTGGTTTTAAGCAGGTGCACTGTAAACAATATTCAAAGTTGATAAATGTGGTAAGTAGCTTGTTGCTTTTGTTAAGTGATAGAATGCAATTCTTAAAATAGAAACTTCAACTTGAGTGGGGTTGTAAGATGTAAACCTATAGTTCCATATAATTTTTCTTAAACTTTGTCTTAGATTTTTTTTTAAATTGGTGTTGATTGCATTCCTATAAGTTCGCCATGAACTCTGAACTCTCAAGGAGAAAGCTGAAGCTGTCCAACATTCCTAAGTCAAAGGAATATTATTTTCCACTTCCTATGCATGGTGGCTATTGTTTGTTCTTTGTGTTGCCAGAGTTCAGCTTTAGGAGATGAAATGAGTGTTGAAAGTTTATCATATTTTCAATTGCTACTTATTTTCTTAACAGGTAGATAAAAGTACAGGAGTTAAGTTTTAAAAGGGATCAGTCTATTTATCATCATAATGGTAATAGCAAATTCATTCCCTGTGTAATGTACAGTTTTTTTGCAAGATGTGAAAACAGCATAAATATTGCTGTTATTAAGGAAGTTAATTTTGCTTAGAACTGCATATTGTTTAATGAAGTTAATTTTGCTCATAATCTTTATCCTGTAATATACCAGTCTAGGCATTTATATACATATGCAACAAAAAATCTCTAAGCATAGGAGAAAAAATCAACATCACTGCTTTCAGTTGGGACTCTTTAAATAATTGTGAAGCTGAGATCCTCTCTTTCATGCGGAAAAAAAGGAATTTAATGAGGTTGATCATAGTGCACATAAAACCATTATCAGGAAAATCGACATTTTCAAATCAATGGCTAATTAATGTGCAGGAACACTGATAAGACATATAGAACTGAAACACATGCGGTATTTTATTGTTAGTTATTCAGTAGCCAGTTTGCCTAAAGGAAAAATAGATTTTTAAGTAAAGCTGTAGTGTTCTGTGAAGATGCTTCTGTCCAAGATTTAAGTTAACTCTTCCTCTTCATAATATTTTTGAAACAACTGCATACAAAAAAAACAGTGTTATATTGAGAATATAACACCTGTAATCTTTGAATAACTGTCCCAAGAATTAGTTCATTTTCTCCCTAAAAATTACACACCATTTAATTACCTTTTCTAAAAAAAAAAAGGGGGGGGAGTGCGGGGGAGTAGTGTCTTTTCTCTTTGGCTAGATTGGACGTTTCAGTATCTCATGTAAGTGTCCAGTTTCTAAAGAATGATATTTTTGAAAGGAAATGTACTGTACTGCTGCTGCTTGAAGCTATCTCAAAAGCTAAACATGAATAATACAGCATTATGCAAAAGAAAAATAAGATTAATAACAAGTAGGGGAGCAGTGGTGGATGACGTGCTCCTGTTTTGGAGAAATGAATGGAAGCTGATTGTCAGAGCAGCCCATTGCAGGTCTGCATATCTGAAACCATAAGAGGTTGTGTGTCCTACTGTATTAAAATAACCTATACCCAGATATACCTTCATATACCTGATTAAAATTTCTAAATATAGCCAAATGAATGAAGTCAGAATGAGCCCAGGTTTAGAGTAAAATCTGTATGACTTACCTTGCAAGTGTTTTGAATGAGTGTGCTACTGTGTGACTGTGATGGAGAGGTAACTTCTTTCTGCACAAAACTTAGCATCACCTTTGGCACACTTTGAGAGTGAATGTAAAATCAGTTTGTTGATCATGTTCTCTACTAGGCTAAGGATTACTGTCTGTCCATTCTGAAGTAATGTAGTTTGGTCGTTGTCTAGAAGGTATTAAGGAAGATGCTTTTCCTTCCTTTTAAACACCAGAGATGTTCCAAATTTTGGATGGAACTTCTTTGAATGATCTTAACCAAATCTTAAAACTCTTTGTTAATCTGTATATTAAGAACCTGAATGTGGGGAAATTACTCTTTTCGTCTCAGAAAATAAAAGTTACTTTTCCATGTGCAGAGGAGAAGACATTGTCTCATCAGTCCCATAACAGTTACAGGTGTGAGAAAGCATGCGGAAACAATACCAACCTAAAGTGCTGCATACAAAAGAATCCTTTGGACTTCTAATGTTTGGATGAAACTTGTGTGTAAAAATAAACCTTTCAGTCAAAGTAGCTGATCTTCTTCATTAAAATCCAAACATAATGCATATTTTATACCTGTTCTGTAGCAAAAGTTACTTAACATCTTAGTACTTAGATCTTTAGTACTAGTGGAATGAGAAGCATTTTTCATTCCTGCAGGAAATAAGTACATGATGTGATGCATCAGCTTAAGGAAGGGTCAAATGGAAAAAATATATATATTGAACGATTCTTAGCTTGTCAATTTTATGAAGCTTAAATATTCAAGCAGTGCTTGGCTTCTTTGTACCTGATACACATCATATTGTTGCATTTAATGCTTTCTCTTTATGAAATTTTTCTTGATTTGCTTATAATTTTTTCATTTGTCTCTTTTAAAATATTTTATATATATACATTTAAAATTATTATTTATTTAAAATTATTTAAAATTATAATTTATTATTATGTCAGAATTATAAGTCTGCAGTATTGATTTATTCTGTGTCCAAAAGAGATTAACTCTCAGGCAGTTCTGAAAAGGTAACAAACAGCAAGTTTGTCATATTTGAGACAGAGTGATCTGGTGATCATCTGAATTAAACATTTGCCAAACAGTTTTCTGGTGGTTGTGCTTAGGAAGGAGGAGCCTGAAATGACCAGTAATGGAGAGAAGCTCGTGTAGCCAGTGATTTTTTTTTCTTTGTGCGTTGACCAGACTATTGTGTTTTTAAAAACTTTGGAAGTTGCATTGCACTGAAAGGTGCAGTCTTTACTTCCTATTAGATGAAGTTGCATATGTATCTATAAATAGGTGTGTGAGTGTAGAAGTATATACATGTATTTTTACATAATTTATAAAACTGTATAATCGATGTTTTGCAGGTGTGGAACATCCTTTTTAAAGACTTGTTGCATTTTGAGTGACTAGACTCCATTATATAAGAAAAGATTATTTGTCTCTTTTAGGGGAAGCTTGTAGCTACTTCAGAAAGCCTGCTGCTTTCTGAATGATCTCCAAGTCAAATTTTTTTTTTTTTTTTGCATTTGTTTCAGAATTGTAATAGGTAAGCTATGATTCAGCGTGTATTTTGTGTGTCATTAGGAGCTGAGTTTAATTTAATGTGTGCTTTATAAAGGATTCTTAAATTTAGCTGACTTGTGCTGTTGACTTACAATGAAAGAAATGGCAAAGAATACAAAAGAACGGATATTTTTATTATCATTTATCCTATCAGTGAGAGACATCTAAGAGGTTGTTTTTTTTTTTTAATGTAGAAAAGAAAGGAAATCTATTAGTCTCACTGCTCTAGAAAATATCAGAGTACTGTTTTCAAGTAGCCAATCAAACAGATCAGCAGTTAAAACTAAAAACTAAAAAAAAAAAAAAAAAAAAAAATGTTGGTCAAGAAGATGTTACTAAAAAGATAAAGACAGGATCTCTCCATCTGCCTCTCAGTGTTCTGCTGGTTGATCAAGAGCAAAAAAAGAAATAGTGAGAAAATCATTGCCATGTGTCTTAGCTGTCCTGAGAGAGAATTATCTTTTGAACTCTCGTTCAGAAGAGGAACAGGGGCATGGAAGGAGTCACTGAAAGCTCTATGTACATTTGTTTTTCTAGTCTTTATAGAATCATAGAATAGCTTGGATTGGAAGAGACATTAAAGATCATCTACTTCCAACCTCCTGCTGTGGGCAGGATTGCCACCCATTAGATTAGGCTGCCCAGAACCTTGTCTAACCTAAACTTGAATGCCTCCAGAGATAGGGCATCCACAGTTTACTGGGCAACCTGTTCCAGTGCCTTACCATCTTCTGAGTAATATCTAAACTCGTAGTATCTAATCTAAATCTTCCTTCTTTTAATTTACAACCATTTCCTCTTGTTCTATCAATAGAAGTATGGGTGAGTCCTGTTTTCCAGGATACTACTCATTTTTGAGAGAGAATCCTTAGTCTAGTTGTTGTTTTTGCTTTCCACTTCTCAGATTCTATAAAATATGATCTTGGCATATCCTTTTATCTGCATAATATTGGACCTATTGGAATGCTGTGTATAGAACAGCACTGATTTAAACTAGCTTTCTGTTGTTACTAATATTTAGATGTCATAGCGCAGTTTTAAACTACTATTCATACTGTATCGTGTTGTGCTGTGTGGGGAATATTCTGGACATAGTGGTAGGTTCTTTCATGAAACTGAGTCACTGTAAATAAAAACATAGAAGCAAATAAATATTCTGAATTTGTTATCTTTATACTAAGTAGCAGTAGTTAAAGTATGTCTTTAGCAACTTCCTCTCTTCTTTTAGTGGAAGCAATTCCAAATAATATTCAAGAGTTTTTTTGGAGTTAAATTACTGTATTGATCACAGTTTACTTAAGCAGATGGGTAAGAACTTGTAGGTCACTTGCTAGTCCATTCTTTGGCAATTGTACTTTCTTTAATGTTTTTTACAGTCCATGGTATGCCAAAAATAATGTTTCTGCTGCTTTCTTTGGCAAATAATTCCACACTCTATTTTATTCCTTCAAGAACATTCCCCTTGTGCTTTCCATATTATAACGCTGGGCTAATTGAGTAAAATTAATCAAATTTAATATAACTCAAACTACACAAATGCTATTATCTGCCATAGACACCTACATAATGAATCTTCCTAAATAAAACTTCTAATATCTAATGAGTGTAATACAACAGTACTTACTGAATGTAATGTAAGATATTTTGTAGAGCATTTGCTTAGCATCTTTCTTTTCAGTGTATTGAATATTCCAGGAAAACCTAGTAGAAAAAATTCATTTTGATCTGTTAACTATTTTCTAAAAGCTTGGTAGTATTACTGCTGGCATTGCGAGTTTCTAAGTTGTTACCCATTATTATAAAATTAAGAGATGACTAGCAGCAATATCATTTAAATCTTCCCTAAGAAAAATCTGGTCAAACTTAACAGAGCTAACATTATTCTGATGAGTTCATCCCAAGTGTGGTCTTGCTGTATGTCTGTAGAGTATTTTATGTAATTTATAATGATAATAATTTCATACAATGAATGTGTGAAGTGTTTCACACTTATAATGGTAATGATTTCATACTAGAATAATTTCATACTATTATAATAATTTTATACAACTGATGTTACTTAATGTAAACAAATGATAGAGTTGTTATTAACTAATGGTTGGGGTAGACAAGTAGATAAATGGTGACAGAGTTGATATTAACTGGTGTTAATTGGAGGTTGATTTTTTTACATTCAAGGGCTTACACTAATATTGCATTTAAAAAGGAATAACAAACACTTCAAAAATTATTAATGCAGTTTGTTGATCAGCAGTGTATCTCTTGGAAGTGATACAGAGGAAGTATTTTTTGTAATTTAATATAGTAATCATAGGATGTTCTTCAGTAGTAATTCCGTAACTCTGTATTCTTACCGCTCCTACTTGCAGTCTCCCCATTCCACGCTAAGAGCTGCTGAGGGTGAACTGCAGAATGCTTTGCTATCTTCAGTGCTTTGTTATAGAACATTTGTATGCTCTCACAGAAAATTTAAGAAAACTTTTTGCAAAATATTACTTTCTGAAGGTGTATTTTACCAATCATGTATTTTTCAAAATAGTTTAACGTAAAGATGAAAAAATACATGGTGATCAAGGGGAACAAGAGACTGTTGTGAAACAGTAGAGGAATAATTGGAGTATCCAGATTTCCCAGAAATAGTTTCTTCTCAAGTTAAAAGTAGACTAAGAAGAATGCTAGCATGAAGATGAAGTGATTTTTATCTTGTTCTTATAATGAAAATGGTCCTGCTTTAATATAGCAGGTTTAACGGAACAATGCCCTACAGATACGACTTGATTTTACAGCATTCCTTTGATGTTGTCTGACTGCCCTCTTCAGGATGACAGTGAACATGTTAGTCTGCTTAATGTTGATATGTGGTTCTAGAAGCAACCAATCCAGTACATGATCCATTACTGTAATTGCAAATTTAACCTGTTGAATAATTGTTTTAAGTTGCAAGTTGTATTCAATCAGTGTGAAAGTTGTGTTTTGTAAGATTTATTTTTTAAGGGTTGGAGATTTTTTTCATGATATATTTTATACAACAAAAATTTATTCCTAAATACAAGAGAATTCCACTGGAGTTGTGTGTAATATATATCATGCCTAAGGCTGGTCTCAGTTAAGAAGAAATGGGAGTGAAAGGTAGTTTTTTACAACACCTATAGTCTTCTTCCTCTTCACTCTCAAAAAATGATACTTTTGTGTTCAGTGCAGAGTTTCTGTCTTGAAGCTACAGTTTTTAATTAAAAGGTATTCTTTGCCATCATACATGTGGAAAATATTAGAATACCATTTTGAGAAAAGCTGCAGGATACCTTTATACTGCTTTTGCATCTAACCATATGCAAATAAAAGTTGCCAAATACTGGAGTGTTGGTTTGAGGTCTGCAACAGACGCAATTAATATGATTAATCACTAAAATAGAAGTAACTAGTGAAGGAGCATATGTAAAGATGAAAGTATTGCAGGGATCCTTCCAGGTTGTTTTCCTTTACTTTTTATTGAATTATTTGTTGATATGGATTTATCCTGTGGAAGAATTCTTTTTATGTTTCTGTCTGTTGTTTTACGGCTCTTCCCTGTGGATAAGGATTCCCAGTGTTTCTTTTATTTTCTTCTCAGTGCAGACATGACCAGGTTTAAAACTAATGAAGCAATCAAACTAAAACAGAAACAACCTTAAATACAGAGCTGTGAGAAAAGCCAATAGAAGCCTTTCTTACAAATACAAGTAGTAATAAAAATGACTTTGTAATGATGATGGAAAGCATTATGTAACGCTGTTACATTGTGGAAAACTATCCTTTATCACTTCCAAAACATGTTTTATAGAAATAATCTTGAGTATTTTTCTGTTACTTACAAACCTCCTGTCAGTTTAATTACTTCCCCAGTGTTTAACAGTTTTTTTGGCATAGTGAATAGGGATAGATTATTTTTTTTCCAGAGCTTTTTCTATGCATTTGGTATTTTTGAAATAATACTGCAATCACATTACTGCGTAATTTTTCCACTGGTTTCAGTATTCCCATATCCTCTTCCTCAAGTAAATCCTGGTATTGTACTTGAGGACCATGTAAGTGTCTCCGTGCATAGACATGCTTGCAGATTTCGGTGATGCTTGCCACTAAGGCCACTCCTAAGGCTTTTGTGTTTTCTGAGGCTTTTAAATGTGAAAAAGATTAACATATGAAATGTTTCTGCTTTTAGTTTGACTTAAAACTTTGTAATTTTAGAGAAGGCAAGTATGAAACACAGATGCATTATGAGCCGAGACTTCTTTTAAAATTGATAACGTGAACGTTGAGAGTGATATTGCAAGAATAATTAATTTAACTGCTGCAGCTGGATAGAGTGTCTCTTTTGCAAGTGAATGCCACATGGATGTATGCTTGTTTCTTTTAGGCAAGCTAATGAAGAATATCAAGTTCTGGCTAATTCGTGGCGCTATTCGTCTGCTTTTTCAAACAAGCTGTTTTTCACAATAGTGGATTATGATGAAGGGGCGGATGTTTTTCAACAGGTAAATGCTGCATATTGTAAAACATTCTTAACATTATTTACTAATGAATGGATACTAGAAAACAAGTATTTCCTTAGATACATGCCTCTGTATGCGCTTCATGTGCAAATTCATTCTAGTTACAAATAACGGATGCTGGAATTTCTGTGACTTTAATAAGGGCTACTTATGCAAGTAGCTACTTTTGGTATTTTCCAAGCGTGGTTCATAGTATTTATTATATGTTTATTATATAAATTAACTGATACATACGCAAAATTTAATCAGTCCATTGTTAATGTGTTCTGGGGTTAAATGTAATACAAAAAAACATTTGTATTTAAAAATTTCCTTTAGGGCGAAAAAGCATTTTAAGACTTTCCATTCACTTTATATGAGAAAATATTCTTCAAATTTAGAACTCTTTGACTGGAAGTTCTTCAGGCAAAATAAAATAGACTTTTGGTTTTCTGTATTGACTGTGAAGAGTGAGGAATCGGTTCCTGGAGAGTAGTTTGAAGTTCCCTTTTAAATTGAGTAGTCAAGAAAAAACACATTCCTGGAAAATGTTGCTAATTTCTGCACTGATATTCTGTTTGATATTTATCCGTTGAATGAGGCTAAAAGTGGAGATTAAGAAGAGTACCAAGTTTTGAAGCTCTCTATTTTGAATAATGTTTTCAGGGAAAATCTCTAATATTTAATTTTCAAAAATTTAATATTTTTGAAAGTTTAATTACTGTATTTCCTAATATTTTTGCTTCCAATAGACATTTTGGAATATGTCCTGTTAAGTATGTTTGTCAATGGTTTACATTTTGCTTTATTAATTTTGAAATAATCTTTAAAATATAATTTTACATTACCATATACATATAGCTACAATAATACAAAATATACTGTTTAATCTTGCCTTAAGTCACCAGTGCATATCAGAATAGTCTGGTCCAACTTTTTCCTTATGTAGAAGAAGTTAAGCACAAGGGATAGTAATTACCAATGACTTTTAACATGAATTTTGGAATAATTCTGACCTTGAGCATATGTATGCAAAGCAGTACTGCTATAGTGTTGTGTATAGTATTGTGTTAAACTATTTCACAACAGCTCTCTTATCCTTTCTAAGGATTTTTTTATTTAGATAGTAGTTCACTAAGGAAGTGGGATGTTTTTTACTTAGATGAAAGATATTTAAATAGCAGGTAATTTCTAATGATAGAATCAGTTCTGTACTTGATTAGATAATGTTTTGGTAATGTGATAGAAGTCATTTTGCAGGAATGAAACAAACAAGATTACTCTTAATTTGTTATTCAAAGATCTTCGTATTGCATCATTTTATCTAACTAATATTTTTATCAACTGTTTTGTTTTTTTTTTTTTTGGGTTTTTTTTTTTTGTTTGTTTGTTTTTTTTTTGTTTTTTTTTTTTTTGCTCTGAGATGGACTAACTATGGAGGAATGTTATATAGTAAAACTATAATATCCTGTGTCACCTAGCAAAGCTGAAGTAAAAATGTGAACATGAAGTAGCAAATATAAATCTATTTGTTTATCTTATTTGATTATCTTTTTTCCCTTTGTCCAAAGTATAGCTGCAGAATATGGTGAAGCATACACTGGCTTTTATTTATTTTAATTATAAGAGATCTGAAATCTATTGCTGTATATTTAAACAAATGTCCAAAATTGATACACAGGGAGTGGTTCCAGTGATGTCAACATGTGAATAACCATTTGTGTGATGCGGAGAGAAAGTTATGTTACCTAAGGCAGTTACGTAAGGTTATGTAAGCCATTTGGAATTCAAACAAGACTAATCATTGTAGGGTTGTCTGTCATCAAGCCAGTGGAGGTATAGATGAGTAGTTTAGTCTAGATAACTTTGGATTGGTGACAGCTAGGGAAGAGAAACAATGTCAATCTCTTTTAAACATGTTTTCCTTTGAATTTCAACCTAATATTCTTTAATTGATTGGAGGGAGATGAGGTCTCTATTTTACCAATTACAAGGAGGGGGATGAGGTCTCTGTTTTACTAATTACAAGGAGGGGGATGAGGTCTCTGTTTTACTAATTACAGGGAAGCTCTTATAGTGCGTGGGAACTATAAAGCATAAGATACTCATACTCAGAAAAGCTTGCAGGTACATACTCTGAACTGTGAAACATCCCAACGGCTCTACCAGAAGAAAATAGCAAGAAATGCTCTGAGCACTCTTTTTACAGGACTGTGCATAAAGACGTACTAAAAACAAACAAGCCCCCCCCCCCAAAAAAAACAACAACAAAAAAAAAACAAACTAACTTATTACTTGGGAAGGGAAATACTGTTTTTCACACTAGTTGTGCTTATGTTGTCTGGTACATAAGAAATAAACATTTTCAGGTGTGAAGTTACTAACTTTTTTGCTATTTTTCCTGGTTTTATAGCTTAATATGAACTCTGCTCCGACTTTCATGCATTTTCCTCCAAAAGGTAAACCCAAGAGAGCTGACACATTTGACCTGCAGAGAATCGGATTTGCGGCTGAACAGCTAGCGAAATGGATAGCTGACAGAACAGATGTTCATGTAAGTCAACAATTTTAAAGTTGGAGCCAAATGTATGTACCTTGGTAGTTTGAGACAGGCAGCTGATAAATGTCATCTCTCCTTAATACCTGTTTTTCCCTTGAACGTGGAATCTTGACAGCATTTAAAAAAAATATATATATATAAAAAGAAAAAAGTAGTATTCATTGTAGCTGCAGTTTGAAGATTGTTCTTCTGTGTAAATTATATGTGGTCTTTGTGGTGATATTGTGATAATTAGTTCTTAATAAGTAGTATGTGTTTGCAATAAAACATACAAAATAAATCCAAAGCAGCTGCTCCTAATTCAGACACAACATGCATATTTGTTTAAAATTATAATTATTACAATATATATACACATATATTTTTATATGTGTTAGTTTAATTTTCTTAAGAGTTAAGAATGGAAATATTGTGTATTTAAGTTTTCAGGTTAGTACCAAATCATTAGTGCTTAAAAACTGTTCTCTTATTACTGAAGCTAGTATTTTTTCTTCTTATTCGTGGATACATTCAGTGATTAATCTTTGTTAATACCAGACTTCAGATGCTCATTGTTTGTCTGTAATAAGGTATTCTCTGTGTATTGATTTATTTGTGATCTGCATGTTTGCATTTATCTTTTTCAGATTAGAGTGTTCAGGCCTCCAAACTATTCTGGTACAATTGCTCTGGCTCTTCTGGTATCTCTTGTTGGTGGATTGTTGTATCTACGAAGAAATAATTTAGAATTCATCTACAACAAAACTGGCTGGGCCATGGCAGCTCTGGTATGCACTTTTTTCATATGTATATGCTTTTAATTAGTTTCCCATTTTAACATATTTTGTTACTTGTGCAGCAAAATAAAATCTGTCAGTACATACATCAGGGTGGTACTAACAGATGAAGATTTGCAACCTTAATCTTGAAGCTAACTCTTGTCAGCAGTGACTATCAGTTACTAGGAATCATTCATTGAAAATTGATGTTTTTCTTCAGTTGTTAGCTGCAGATTATTGTTGAACTTCAGGAGAAAAATATGTCTAATAGAAAGTGTTACTGATGATTGTTGTTATCATTCTCTTTGTAAAAGAAGTAATGTTATGGTAGGCTCAGTGTGGATATTGATGTCAGAGTATTGCTTTAGAGTAATGAAAGGTTAAGAAAATTAACAAAGCTTTTATATGTGTGTAAGAAAATGAAAAAAGAAGAAAAAAACAGATAAAGATGGAATTCTTGCATGGTGGATTCACTAGTACTGTCCTTAACAATTCATTGTTAACCCGTATAAGAGATTTTATAGAGCTAACTGAGGGAATTTTAAATCTAGCCAATCTAAATCTAGACGTGTATTTGTCTGGATTACTGGTGTTTATCAATAAGAAAATGTGGAAAGTACCAGAAAGCTTGTTTGATAAGGATATGAAGCAACTATTGGAATCTTACTTGAATATTTTGAGGTCAACTGTGTTAAACAATAATAAGCACAGTAAAATAGATATTTGTGTCAAAAATCAAATAAAAATATGTGATCAATAGAATTTCCTGTGTTTAACTATGCACCGTGTCTGTGGACACAACAATTTTATTCCAATTTCATGCCTCAGTGTTTCTGACCAGAAGCTTTATGTTGGGAAGGGGGTTGTGGGAGGAGTTGTTTTCCATCTTGCAGAGGTTAAAACTCAGTTCTTCAAATGAAGAATAATTCTATTGCGATCTGCATAGTTGAATACATAATTAACTTGAGAACTAAATTAAGGAAGTAAATGTATCAATTTTTTTCTCAAAATATTTGCTGTTATCCCTAGGAGCTGCTTGACATTTTACATCTGTACATAACTGTAAACCACAGCGTAGGAAACTTCTAATTACAGTGAACCAAGCTCCTTTGGAGAGAGTCAGTGCCTAAATGTGATCAGACATTTAAAAACAACCACCATGGTATTTGTGCCTTTCAGTACTCATCAACCTACTGATTACATTAATAGGTAATAATAGAGTTTAAAGGGATAAAAATGACGTTAATGGGATTTTTTGCTCTTTCTAATACTACTTCCAGTACAGTCTGTTTATTTTAAAGATGAACAGCACTTGAAAAAGATATTTTAGAAAAACATCTTATCTGAAAGTAAATAAGAAGATAGCAATTAACCATGGCTCCAGCTAATTTTTTAAGAAACACGTTCATTACTCTCTTCCCTTCACAATGTTGTCAAAGCCCCATGGTGAAAAGTGATTTTTGAGCAAATTTATCCAGTTACTATGAGTCCTTTCAGTTTTAATCAGATCTATATGGACATACAAGTTAACACTGAAATTTCTTTTGGTGGGGTCAGCAGGGAGTCCAAATTTCAGGCTTTGCACAGATTACCTCAGATCCTTTGTATGTTCTGTGAGATGACTAGAATGAGTCAGGATTCATGGAGGGGAAAATGGGCAGCCATTGATATATTGTTTCTAAGATAGGTGATTGCAGTTGTCTTATGTTGGTACTTTTTTTCTACCACTAAAACATACTTTGTTTACTAAAACTTTTTTAAATGCTTTTTTTTTGTTCTTTTGAAGAGCTTTAAATCTCTTAAATATTGGATAATTGCTTTTGTTTGCTTTTAATGAAAAACTGGCAGTGCATTTCTTCCTAAATAATAGAAAAAAATGCACCCTATAAAGCACCTCTATGAGCAGAAGAAAAAAGAGTACCAGAAGTGTTGACTAGATATATATTTGAACGACCATCAGCAGCAATGAGTTGTCTTAGAAATAGTATTTTCAGCAGTATATTAACTAAAAAGAATTGGAATGCCATTTTTAATGGCACATGTTATGGTTGTGATAGGCTTGGAATCGAGAGAACTTTCAACTCATGCACTGATTCCAGCTCCAGTTAACACAAGACTTAAATTAGTTTTGTCCTCAGCATTAAATTGAGCAGTAGCAGTGCAATTAGCTGTTTTCATCCCCTTGTGGAAGCACAACAGACTCAATAGTACCTTGTATGCCTTAGGCATTTTTACTTGCAACATTACCCAAAAGACTTCTAGAATGGCAAATGCTGGTTGTTGAGTACCTAATATTAAAAAAGATATCATTTGGAATCACACCCAAAATTTATCCCTTGTATTATTTTAGACTTTAATTCAATTCTTACTACTCATCCATGGATATTTTTTATTCTGTGTGTACTGCAAAAATGAGGAGGGATTTAGTCTTCAGTCCTTAGATATTTGCAGTCATTCATTTTATACTGATAACAAAAAGCAATTCGGGTTCTTGTCAAGACTCTTCATTTCTTAAGCAGGGAGTAAAAGGTCAGATGGTGTAAGCTGAGCAAATTTCTAACATTTTAGATAAGGAATTGCTACTTTTGAGACAATGTTTCTAGTGCTGAGAAAATATTTGTTCAATTGACTGGAATGTAGCAGTGGGAGAGCTTTTCAAAACAGTTTCTTTATCAGATTGCCACCATGCTTTTCTATGCGTAGTTTTCAGTTTCATTTTTGGTGTGTATTTCAGTTTTGCCTATGATGTCTGAGAGGGCAAAATCTGTGCTCAGATTCCAAGAGACCTGCCTAGGAGTTGATTCTTCTGGACAAAGAATGTCAAATCACTTGAATGAGAAGATGAAGCATGTATTTACTGTTGTCTTAACAGTTAGTGATTATGAGAGATATGATCTGTGCCAAGACACTGCACAGAGCTTATATCGTATAGGACATTCATCATTAGTTACAGCTCCAAAAAAACTTGAAGGCTGCTATTAACTTCTTTACCTCCTTCTGGAAATGAGGATAGATAAGCAATTTGTTTTATTCCAGGATACAGAAGAAAAAAACTAGGCTCCTATACATGGGAACTCCAAAAAAAAAAACCAAACAAACAGCAACTAATGCAAGTTATCAAAGTATTTTTTTCCCCTGCAGTTAGAGGCTTTAGAGCCGCACATCACATTTAAAGATACAGAAATGCCTTCTCTTTGCTTGTGTACTGTAGTTCCTGTCCTTGAAATGTCTGTGCGTTGCTAGAGATTCTAAGAAGTGATGAATTGCTCTTTAGAAATTGAGTACAAATCTTGCAGCCTTTATTGAGTGCAAAAGCAAATTTAAACGAGGTAGAAGGGATTAAATTTCTTTAGAATGGTAGTTGTGGGTTGGATAAAATGTGCAAATCTAGAGTAATTATAGAAACTGGGTACAGAACTGGCTGCTTGGGTCTCTTCATTTTTGAAATTAGGCTTCTATTTAACTGCATTTATTAATGAATCTAGAATTTTCTTATTTTTTATGTGCTACAAAATTATTGCCATGTTTGAGGATCTAAGAGATATAATCAGCTGCTTTGTTGTATCTGCTAGCAGGAAGTTTTAATTTGAAATGGCCTTTTAAGCCACTAATAATTTTATTAAATAAAATGACAGATATTGTTAAACAATGCTTATACAGTAGAGATATTTTCTCCATATAGTTGTAAAGCTGGATCTTACTACTATTTCAGTGTTCTGGAGGAAATCTAGATGCTTAGTTAGTGTCTTCTCTTAGGAAACTTCTGGTACACACAGGCACACTACTGGTGAATTCAGACCTGTTCCCTCTTATCAAAACTAAACCTGAGATTTTTCACTGTGAATCCACTGAGAAAGATCCCCATTTGCAATTTGTTCACAAGGTTCTTGAGCACACAGATCTGTTTATATATATGGTGTACTTATAGTAGTTGAGGTGCGCTTCGTTACTATTGAAACCATCTTGTGGATATTTGATCCTGGAACCGTAAAGTGTTGAAGCAGATTATTGGTCCTTCCCTCTCTCTGTATTGCTTTTGTTGATCATTCTGTTCCACATTTTGCTGTCATCATTTAGATGCTGAACAAGCTAGCTAGATCAAGAAGCTCCTAAAATAGCTAAATCCTGAGTTCCCCTGATAATTGAGGTGGCATGCAGCTGGTAAAATATTCTGGGAGTATGATGAGTGGAAAGAAGGGGGCAGGTGTATGAAAGGGCTGTCCTTGGTGAGGTGTGAGTAGTACTGTATCTGTAGAACTGATGAAGGAGGGACTCTACTCTGCCTGGGTAAGTGGAGTTGCAAATCCTTTTAAGTATGTAGAGGGAAATGCCTCAGCTTTAATCTTCTTTCTACACTTTTAATCCTTTCTACCTTGACAAAATCCAAGAACATTGGAAAGGGATGATTTCTCTGCATATGAGTTTTTTCATTGTAATCAATACTGTACAAACCTTTAAGATAAACATGAAGTCATTAATCACATGTTGCAAGTCATTCATAGAAGTGAGTTTGTAAAAGCTTGATCCTGAGAAACATCAACTCACAGTAATAAGAGTTGTGGAAAGTTTGGATCCCAAAGCACAGGATCATTTGGAAACCAACAGATTTGGAATGCTAAGCACAGGATATCACATTATCTGTAACACATGCATCAGTTCTAAAAATAGTGGGGTATATTTCAAGTAAGTTTTACAAACACTAGAAATCTGTAGATTCCAATTATAAATATGTGGAACAGTACTTCAGTGATAGCAATAAGTGAATATGGAATGGAGCAAAATAAGCTTGAATGTCAAGTGCTATATGTAGAATACCGAATTCTTGCTTTATGGATTTGATGGAAATACTAAAGAATCTAAAGTAGATTAAAAGGTTCTTCCAAGTATTTTCTCCTAGGTATTTTTTGTTAGATGCTACCGTGTTGTGAGGCAATTTATTTATACTAGCAAACGTTAGAGAGCTTCAGTAATTTGAGAGAATTCGTAGTTATGAAGTATATAATTAATAAAAACTGAGGTTTTTTCATGTTTATGCGTGGAAAAAGATTTGGCTCAGGAGACTGTGAATTAAATACATTAATTTAAGAATAAGTAAAATGATCATTTTCATTAAAAAAACTTTTCTTTTTTGATGTTTTACTTTCCAACTGCCTAACTCTTTGGTTTTCATCTCTCTCACCTCACTTTTGTTCTTTATTCTGTGATCTATAATTACACTTTAAATCAAAATTTACAGGATAAAAGCATGCATCTTTTCCCTTTGTTATCCCTAGGACAGGGTTTCACCAGCTTCCTTGTCTCATTTCATTGTCTTGTTTCATTTCACTGGTGTTGTCATGTGCTCCCTTCCCTACCATTCTGTACTGTGTCTCGTGTTACTGCTTTCATCTCATGCCTACACTACACCATTATGTTGGTCATAGCTAATTCATCCTAATGAGAGTAGAAAAACAAAATTTGTGCACTATAGAAATCCTCAAAAGTAATATAGATTAGGCATAGCTATTGATCTTTTTCTGTAAAACCTGTCAAGATTCAATCCTAAGTTGTTTGAAGTTGGTTCACAGTGTATTGCTAGAGAGTCCATACTGGACTAAAGAGCTGTGCTGGCTTAAATTTATTTCACAAATGCATTGCTAGATATTATTTCCAGATAATATGAGCTTCCAGAGCTCTTCCCACCTTTTCAGTAAAAACAAATTTCTCTTCTCTGGTTTAGTAAGCCATCCCAATAAAAATAAATAAAAATTTTATACCTAGTTATTGATGTGACTGTACTATGCTAGGGGGAATACACATATACAGTAAAAATGAGAGTATATGTGGAAGCTGGACTAATATATATTGAAGTTTTTAAATGATTATTTGTACTAATAAATCATAAACATTCACATATTTAGAAACGTATTTATCAGAAACATAATTTTTCTTGTTTAGTAATCAGAAGGTATTACACTTTCCTCTTTAAGATTGTCATAATGACTACTGCTATGACTATGATTTTTGTTGATGTAGATTCTGCAGTATGACCATCTGCAAGTATTTCACAGTTTTCATAGATTCCTAACCTAGCTCCAGTAAAGGGAATTTCCTTTTCTGATTGTTGTATTTTGTCATGACTAAAATGAAGCACAATCATTTAGGACACAAAATGGGAATTTCTTAAATGGGTGGATAATTGAATTTTTTTCTGGTGTGGTTTTATATCATTTCACACACCTTATAGCAAACTGCTAAGCTAAAGATTTGTTGTAGAGGTAAAAATAACTTCATAAAAGGCTGCAGAAATCTTGAATTGTAAGTTTTCAGTATATTTGCAATAAATGCCTTCCACAGTAATGATTGTTTTTTGCCATATAGGTATGTAAATGTGCCAATTCCAAGTACACATAAAGAGAAGATTATTTCAAGTCAGATTCTGAAAATTTGCCTTTGTGAATGAATGATTGTATTGGTCTTCTATTTTTCTAGTGTGTTGTATTTGCTATGACATCTGGTCAGATGTGGAATCACATCCGTGGGCCCCCATATGCTCATAAGAATCCCCAGAATGGACAAGTGGTGAGTTAATTCTTTTTTTTTTTTTTTTTTTTTTGGGCGGGGGGGGGGGGGGGGGGAGGAGGAAGAGGAGGGGGGGAGGAGGATTTCACTTACTATACTGAATGTGTGACTACAGATATTTGCATTGTATGACAATGGGCCAGAGTCTGAAGTCTCAAATTCCAAGCATACTCTGTTACAGAATTTTTGATGTTTTAGAAAATTCTACTGCCTTTGATTTGAACAATGAAATTTTGTAATTCTTTTATTATGCTTCCAGCTGCAGTGAATGTACTAGAAAGTGTTTCATAGCACATAGTTTCCACTGCTCAGTGATAAATGGGTTTTGTCATTTTGTAGAAACATATTCTCTCTCAATGTGAAAAGCAATTTTTTTTAACATACACAAACCTTTGAGATCTATAACCTTTTCGTCTTAACCATTTTAGTTAGAAAAGTTGACAAAAGAAACACATTAAAATATTTGCCATTTAATTTAAGTTCTCTATCAGCTTCTTGGAAAGTTACCATTAACTGAACACTCCTGGAATTGATATTATATTCTTATTATGTTGTCTTTGAAAGAGTTTTCAGACTTGCTCCTTTCTGCTTATAAATTAACAAATGCTCATCAGAGCTCACAAGGAGAAACTCTTTGCCTACTTTGGGACAGGGCAGATAAAGAGGACCATGTATAGTTTCTCGTACTCTTCCTTATTTACTACTTTTCTAATAAATTGTTGTGAAACTTAGACAGGAACCTTTTCTGTAAATGTATGGCGTGTTCAGCCAAATTCAGCTTTGACAATCACTAGTTAAAAGAGATTGGCTGATATCTTGGAACTTAAAAGCAAATTTGTTCTCTCTGTGTCTTAATTGGACTTGCAAAAAAAAAAAAACAAAACTGATCTGCTTTGTATCAGGAATATAACAGCATACTGAGATCATAAAATGGCATAATTCAATCTGTCAACCTTGTTATGCAGAAGGAGAGCTAGTAATGTGGTAAATAATCTTTGTAAAACACAGTTTATAAAAGTTTAAAATTTTTCGTTACTGCCTTGCAGTAATAAACTTACGAAGTTTTCCGATAGGGTGACAGAAAGAGAAATACTGCATAAAAAAAGAACCATTTCTGTTAGTCTTTTACCATACCTAGGTTTATACAGTGCATTTCTTAAAGACTTGTTTCTGAAGTGTAATCTACCTTAAATCATTTAAAAATATCCCTTTTATCCTTTCTCAATCTTTGCCATCTTGTTTTATTTTTTTATAGCATGAACTCAGATTCATACTATAAAAGCTGCTACTTTGGTAGTGCAAACACAAGCAACCAAATAATGAGAATAACCATAAAAATGATCTTAAATTCTAGTTGCTAAACTGCTGTATTAGTCAACATATCTACTTATCTATTTTTGTTCCACTAGATGTCTTCAGGTAGGTTATTTTGATTCTCTGTTTCACTTTCCACATGGTCAAGTGTCAGTGCTTTTATCTCATTGGAGCTACTTTGGTCAGTATGTAAAAAGTCAAATTCTAAGAATTTAAAAGGATGTAGGTAAACACAGGATCACCAAGCTCCTGATTAATTTAATATATCACTGACCAGTAGTGTTGCGACTTAAAGCTCTGATTTTTACAAATGCTAGAAGCTTAAGTGTTTTGCAGACCATTACATGACATTTTTTTCAAGAAAACATTATTTAATATGTTCCCATTTCATTTTATCTGACAGTCATCTATGTTCCTCAAGATCTTAAATCACAAAGCTGCTTAATGCTTCTGTAAAATGTATTCAGCCATAATAATAATAAGCATTGTTTTTGTATTGTCTGCAACTGCAGTTTCTATATCTGAATGAAATTTAACTCACTGCTTTATTTCCAGTGCTGAAGATTTAGTACCAATTCCAAATTTACATGCCAATACAAGGACTTTTTGTATACAGTACTGACAAACTGCTTTCAATGATCTTAACATTTAAACTCTTGTTTTCAACAGAAGGCACAGAATAACTCACCAAGCTTAATTGTTTTATTGTTAGATTCAACTTCATAATTCTTAGCTTTTTGAATTTCCTAAGAGTTAGTAGTTCATTCTCTACTGTAGGATCTAATATGCCACCAGACTTTGAGAGGGATAATATTCTGTCTTTATCATAAACTGTTTCTTGCCATCTCCATTTATTTCCTTAGTTCTTGTCATAATTTTAGTTGGCACTTCATTTGTCTTCCTTAAATTCCTTTAAAAAAAAAAATAAAAAAATCTTTAAAGATGAAAAAGCACTTGTTTGCTTGCCTTAGACAACACTAGTTCCTAGAATCATTTTATTGTAGAAGTACTGCTGACATTTCTTAAAATTTTTAACTTCTGCTCTGCACTTATGGTTCTTTGCTTGATTACCAAAATTACTTTGATTCTGTGATTATATTCTTGCAATGAAGCTTTTAAGCCATATTTCTGTAATACTGAGTAGGTCTGTTCTGTAAAGTGGATACACTCTCTTAGTGAGGTTTCTGGAGTTGCTTTCTGTATTTATCCCTGCATTCAGCTAATTTTAGTTTTGGGATTCATATACTGTCTTTCAGTTCTGCTTTTTGTTGACCAAACTAGTTCAAACTAGTTTTGCTAGATTTCTGTCTTGATGTTATCTGTTGTATTTTTGGATAACAAGTTGAAGAACAAGCTTGATCTAAAAATAATGAAAATGGTTTTGAAAGCTTATAATTTTCCTTCATTATTTAGAAACTATTAGAATTTGGAAAGTTTGCGTGCAGGGGGAGATACTGTATTTTCCTTGTCAGATAGTAGATGACTTTCTACACAAGCTGATGCTTTGTGAGATGGATAATAGTTTTGCTTGCCGCTATATTAATTGGATTCTTTTCCTGTGTCTTGTATTTTAAAAGCTTGTTAAAACTGTTCAAGTGTAACAAAAAGTGTGTTGTTAGGAAGTAATTTTTATATGTTTTGGTATTCTTTTAATGGATCAGATCAAATGTCTTTTACATTACAATATTGTGTAACATTTTTAAAAGGGAAGATTTTTATTCAGGAACCATCTTTGAAATATTACTTTTCAAATTGTCTCCCAGATGGGAATGTCTAGTAATCTGTATGTTTCTGTAGTGAAATAAAAATGTTTGACCTCTCTGATACATTTTTTCATTTGCCAAGGTAAACATAAGGTATTGTATGAAAATTTATACTTGGACTATTAAGATACTGAATTCACAGCAGCTTTCTATAGCAAATAGCAAAAACAATTTTCATGTGATGTAATCTAAATCTAATAAAAACGAAAGCAGAAACAAACCACCAAAACAACCACCTGAACTATTTCTTGGAACTGTCATTAGAAATACCTTCCCTCTCGAGCTCAGTAGATCATAGTAAATTGTCTTTTTGCTTTCAACATTTGTCTAAATATGTATACATGTAGACTGTATTTGGAATGTGTGATTTTTCTGAAAGTGGCCACGTTATTTGGTTCATCTTCAATATATAAAAGTGTCTGTGTGACAGAATATGTTTATACTATGTATTTCTTTTGGATTTTTTTTTAAAGTTCACACAGGTTATTGTCCCAGTGTCTAACATAAGATATCCAGATTAACCTTGTACCATAACAATGTTTTGGTGTGTCCATCAGCAATAATTATAAATGTACTATTGAAATTAATACTTTTTTTTTTTACTGGAATAGCTAATCATGTTAATATACTTGATAGAAGTGAGAAGTAGGTTATTTACTTAGGGTTTATTCAATGAAATAGATTTTCTGTAGTCATCACAACTGAATTTTCTTAGAAACTTTATCTAGTGAAGGGTTTCTCTAGTCTTTTCTTAAAATTTTCATCCTGATTCAGTCGAGAAAAACTGTAGCAATTGGCAGTGTAAGGAGTGGAGCTAATGTAAAAGAAAAGTATCAAGTAATTCTCAGCGTATTAAAATGAACAACATTGTAGCGTTTGGAAAACTATTAACAGATGTATCCCTCCTAATGTTTTGAGGTTGAAGGAGGGGTAGTCATGTTGGCTTTTCAATAACTTCCTTTACAGCAAATGTTTTTACTTTGATATAAGAAAAGGGCTATCTTACCCAACATTTTGCACCCAATTTTTAATGTGGGAAGAGAAGGAAGTAAGAGTTCTCATGACAAAATTTTTTTTAGATGAGAGATAGGAACCTCTAAGTTATCAATTCTTGACGCATGCATACTGTAAAAGTTTAGATAGGCTCATTTTATTGCAGTACTGTATTTTGGCTCAGTAAAGATAGAACACATTCTCATCAAATAAAAGTGGATTTTGGACAATCAAGCAGGCAGCAAGTATTTTGTCATTATAAAATCCAATTAAAAAACAAAAACAAAAAAAAAAAAACCAGCCAGATTTTAATTGATACTCATAACAATAGAAATTCAATTTTAATTGATCAGTATTTTCAAGTAATAAACAGTTCTTCCCACTGCCCCCCTTCCTTTTAAGTATGTGTTGATAGTCTTCTAGAAGAAATTCAGTTTCATTTGGAAAATGAACTGTTCTGTGCAGAAGAGTTTTATATCAGAAGTCAGATGAAGCTCAACTACGTGAAGCTGCAAAGCTCATAACCCACTATATTTTATCTTTCGATTTAATTTTTTTATCCTTTTAAATTTTGTTTCCTTTCAGAACAGACAAGGTAAGTTTTATCCTGTTTGGCAGATACCATTGACTTTAATATGATTAAACTTTGCCAAGCAGTATGCCTCTTCAGAGTTTCTGAAAGTCTGTCTTTTCTTAAGTGGTGGTGTCATTATCAGATCACAAAATTATTCACACTGGAAATGAGAAAAAGATATTAAGCCTGGAGATGATATTCATTGTAGCTGAATAGAACTGAGCAGATGTTATTCCTGTACGTTAAGATTGTTGTTTGTTCTAAAACCTTAGGAAATATTTTAAACAATTTTGCGGGAGTGAGGAAAGAAGAGAGAGAAAACTCTGCCAGCATTCCTTGTTGCATAGTTGTCTTTT